AGGAATGCCTCCGGTTGAAGATGGAACAGAGAGGTTCCTGGAAATTCTGGACAACATCAAGTGAGTATCCTAGTATTTATTTTTCTCAATTTTCTCTTCACCGTTGTTTTGTTAACTTTAGTTTTTCTTACCTTGTCAGGCATGGTGTTCACAGGTTACCAAATTCGGTGGTTTATTTGTTAATTCCAGGTAAAGTGACTGACTATGTATATGACCAGGTTAATCATGACCAAATCTGCTTCCAAGCTCCACATACAGGAAAAGCCTAAGGTCCATGGTGCAACTGGAATGAGAAATGTTTATTAGCACCTGGCCTATAGGATGTAAATCGTAAAACTGGCAAAGTTGGTTGTTGCAACATTCTTTGTGTGCTATTAACTCCCATGCCTTTTACAATGGCAGGTCTTTTCAGTAATCATGGTCCACTTTACTTTGTCAATACAAAAGTCAGTTTTTCAAAGATGGGTTTGGCCTGTCATATCGCAAAGATTCATAGTGAGGTATATTATAATATTCATTTTAGTTGTATAATCAATAACAGTACTAAATGATGATAATAATAGCTCACATGAAAAACTCTTAACTCTAGTTTTTGTGTATATCATATTGGTGATCTTGTTTTTACGTTCTAGTACTGAATTTTGAGTAATTATTAATCAGTCTTCAGTCGAGAAAAATGCCAGAGAACTAAAAGAGTACATTGAGGAAATTTATTGGGGTTCAAAGAAACGTGTTTTGCTTCTTGGACATAGCAAAGGAGGAGTAGACGCAGCAGCTGCTTTATCATTGTATTGGTCTGATTTGAAAGATAAAGTTGCTGGGTTGGCATTAGCACAAAGCCCCTATGGTGGAACCCCTATCGCTTCAGATCTTCTTCGAGAAGGACAGCTTGGTGATTATGTAAATGTACGGAAACTTACTGAGATTATTATCTGTAAAGTGATTAAGGTATGTTGAGTTTTTTGTTTTCTCCTTTTGGTTCCTTTTTTCTTTTTGTACTTGAAATGTTTATTTTTCTTTGGTATCCTTTTCTGATATGGCTTTTCCTTCTTGCATGTGAATATTAGAGAAAATGAATTTGAATATTAGAAGCTTTGGCCATTTGTTTTGTTGCTTGTAATCTGCATTTGCTGAGCAGATTTACAGTTTACAATTTCATGTTGCTTGAGCGAATATCTATTGATTTGTTGAACTACAATGTTGTTTAGCAGACTGTTTAGGTCCCATCGGAGTGGTTGGACATATTATACTAGGCAGTGTAGTCTTATATATCACTATTAAGTAACAGGAAGAATTGTGATGAGAGAGTCGTGAGAAACAAGAAGAGAGATTGAGCGGAAGCAATTCAGCAGAGAAAGAAATTATATTTTCACTAACTGATTAACATTACAACTTGTCTATTTATATGTATCTATAGCTTCAAAGGAAGCTATAGATACATTGACCTGTTGAACAGGTAACCAAACCAGAAAACAGAAAATTAACTAACAGGTAACCAACTAATACAAAAATAAAAATAATACAATGCGAAGGAGTAAAGATATACTCCAATAGCCCCCCGCAAGATCAAGTAGGGTGAGGCGAAGAATCAGCCAACTTGAGCTTGGATCGAAGCTCACAAAATCGAGATGGAGATAAGGACTTAGTAAGAATATCAGTATATTGATCAATGGCCGGAACATGAACCACGTGAAGAAGATTGGCAGCTACTTTTTCCCGAACGAAGAAGAGATCCAGCTCCATATGTTTGGTTCGAGCATGAAGGACAGGATTATGTGCAAGAGCAATGGTGCTCATATTATCACAGTAGATTACAGGGGAATAATGAGAGACATGTAATTCGGAGAGTAAGGTTTGAATCCATAGAACTTCAACAGTGGCAAGAGCAAGACTGCGGTATTCAGCTTCAATGCTGGAGCGGGCAACAATAGTTTGTTTCTTGGACCACCAAGAGATGAGATTGGGTCCAACGAAGATGGCGGCACCAGAGGTAGAGCGGCGATCATCAGGGTCAGAGGCCCAATCAACATCATAGTAGGCATGAATGGACAAGGGAGAGTTAGGAGGAGTGGGTTGGAGATGGAGACCCAGGGACATAGTTCCCTTTAAGTAGCGAAGGATACGCTTGACAGCAGACCAATGTTGCTCCAAGGGATTAGACATGAACTGGCACACCTTGTTGACCGAAAAACTAATTTCAGGACGAGTTATTGTGGCATATTGTAAGGCGCCAACCACAGACCTGTATAAGGACACATCCAGAAATTTGTCAGAACCAGACTTAGAGAGTTTACATCCAGAGACCATGGGTGAAGTGATGGAATTAGAGTTTTCCATGTTGGTGCGATTGAGGAGATCAAGAACATATTTGCTTTGAGTCAGAGTGAGCGAGCCATCAGAATTGGATTTGACTTCAATACCAAGAAAATAATCCAATCGACCAAGATCCTTGAGGGAGAAGGCGGAATTGAGTTGGGAAACAATATTTCTTAGGAAAGCAGTATTATTGCCAGTGATGATAATGTCATCTACATAAACAAGAATGTAGATGACATTATTGGCATGGGAATAAACAAAGAGAGAGGGATCACACTTGCTGATCTGAAAGTTGAGGTGAAACAGTGTGGCTTTTAGTTTATCAAACCAAGCACGCGGGGCTTGTTTAAGATCATAAATGGCCTTGTGAAGTTTGCAGACCAGGGATTTGCCCGAGGACTCAAAACCGAGAGGCTGGGACATGTAAACGTCTTCTTCAAGATTGTCATTGAGAAAGGCATTGTTGACATCCAGCTGCTGAATGGACCAGTGATGGGTGAGAGCAAGAGTGAGAATAAGACGGATGGTAACTGGCTTCACAACCGGAGAAAAGGTCTCAGTATAATCAAACCCAAATTGCTGATGGAAATCCTTGGCAACCAGGTGAGCTTTATGTTTGTGAACAGTTCCATCAGGATTCTCTTTAATACGAAAAACCCACTTACAACCAATGGCTGTTCTGTGGGAGGGAAGTGGTGCTAGAGTCCAGGTGCCATTGGCCATTAATGCATCATATTCCTGCTTCATGGCAGCAAGCCAGGTGTCACTAGCCAGAGCTTGTTTGGTACTCTTGGGTTCAAAATGTGTGAGTAAAAGAGTGGGTTGCAGTCGGGGTTTGACAATACCCGTTTTAGCCCGAGTAGTCATGGGATGAAGATTGACAGGGGGAGCCTCAACATGAGTGGGTAAAGAGGTGGAGGAAGAGGGACTGGGCGTAGGAGAAGTATGACTAGGCCGAGAAGGGGAAGAATTAGTAGAAATTGGTGGCGAGGGTGGAGAAGGAGAGGTAGAGGTAACAGGAGCCTATGGATTGGTGATAACAAGAGGAACAAAAATGGATAAGGAGGGTGAACTGGGAGTGGATGGTGAGAACAGGCTTGGGTAGGGAAAACGACTTTCGCAAAATATGACATCTTTGGAAATGAAAATCCTACCAGACGGAGCAAGACACTTGTAACCCTTATGAGAAGTAGAGTAACCCAAGAACACACATTCTTGAGAGCGAAATTGAATTTTGGTTTTGTTGTAGGGCCGAAGGTGAGGAAAACACGAGCAGCCAAAGACACAGAGAAAGTTGTAGCCAGGGAGCTGATGAAACAGTTTTCGGAAAGGAACATCCTGCTGGATTGAAGAAGAGGGCAGTCTATTGATGAGATAGACACTTGTTAGGAAGGCATAATCCCAAAAGTGCATAGGAAGGTGAGCTTGGGCCAGCAAGGTAAGACCTAACTCAACAATATGACGATGTTTGCGTTCCACAACACCATTTTGATGGTGAGTGTGGGGACAAATAATGCGATGATGAATGCCATGTTGGGCCAGGTAAGAGGTGAAAGAGCGGAATTCGCCACCGCAGTCAGTTTGAATTGCTTTAATAGGTAATTGAAATTGATTTTGAACCATGGCGTGAAATTGTTTAAAAACATCAAGCGTATGAGCTTTACTTTTGAGTAAAAAGATCCAAGTAAACCAAGTATGAGCATCAACAAATGTAATGTAATATTGGTAACCATTATCAGACAAAACAGGCGCAGGGCCCCATAGATCACTGTAGATTAATTCAAAAGGAGTATGATAAACAGTTTTAGATAATTGAGAGGGTAATTTGTGAGATTTGCCAAGACAACACGAAGTGCAAAAATCAGAAACACTTTTATTGATGATGGGAAAGTTACACAGTTTGAATATAGATTTGAGTACATCATTATGGGGATGTCCCAATCTAGAATGCCAAGTGGCATAGGAAACTGAATTAGAAGAGACAGTGTGAGCAGAGGGTATAACTGCAGAAGGTTGTCTTGGCAGAAGCAGAGATGGAAACTGATATAAGCCATCAGGACCGACAACTCCAAGGAGGAGAGTTTCGTTACTGTCCTGTGATTTAACCAAACAAAAGGCTGAGTGAAATTCAAAGAAGACAGAGTTATCCTTACAGAATTGACTCACTAATCAGATTTTTGGTGATAGTAGGAACATAAAGGAGATTATGAAGAGTAAGAGAAATGTGAGGTTTGAGAGGAGAAGAGAAATGAGTAACACCTGAGGAGTTTATGGGGAGACCTTGGCCATTGCCAATGACAATCTGATCCGGCCCTTCAAAAGGGGTGTATTGTTGTATATTGTGAGATACATTGGTAACATGATTGGAAGCGCCAAAGTCAGGATACCATATATTCGCGCCAGGTGAGGAGGAAGACATTGCCAAAGCTGAAGGTGGGGCGTGAAGGTTCCCAGGAGAGACAAGGTATGCTTGGGATGTGTTAGGGTTGGGTGGTCGAGGTTCCAAAATGCCATTAGAGAAGCTAGCAGGGCGAGGTGCAGACTGAGATTGAAAGGGGGAGGTGGTGTAGCCAAAAACAGGGTGGGTGGTGGAGGTGTTGGCGGGGAAGGAGTTATCAAGGGGTAGGGTGGGAACGAAGTTGCTATCAAACCGATAATAACAAGTGGAAGGAATGTGACCATAGCGATGACAAACCTAACATTGGGTCCCAAAAACCCTGCCACGGCCACGGCCATAGCGGTGGTTGGATCGGCCACCGCACCCACTGCGTGCACTAGGTCGACCACCGCGGAAGGAAGGAAACTGAGAATCTTGATGGGCAAGGTTGGCTTGGGGTTGCAAGGCAGGGGTGTTAGAGCCCGAAGAGGATTCAAGAAGATTGACGGAGATAAGGTTCTTCTTCTTGAATTTCTCAAGGCGAAATTCGTGGGCAAGAAGGAGGGTTTCAACCTCTTCGATGGACAAAACATCAAAGCGGCTGCTTATTAGGGAGACGGTGGACTCGTATTCCCCTGGAAGGCCCTCAAGAACAATGTCCAAATGTTCTTTAGAGGAGACAGAATCACCAATGGCTGTGAGAGAATCAACCAGGGATTGGATGCGAAGAAGGTAATCGGAGATGGTGCAGTTGTCAAGGGTGGTGCTGCGAAGATCACTGTGGAGTTGGCGGGCTTTAGCGTTTGTGTGGGCATGGAAGTACGCATGAATCTTGTCCCAAATCTGGAATGAGGACTTGCAACCGATGACGCGGGCGAGCATGTCCTTGGACATGGAGGATTGCAACCAGGAGAGAAGTAACTGGTCTTGCTGTTCCCAAGCCAGATACTCTTTAGAGACGCGATTTTCATCTTTGTTAGAGACCGTGAGAAATTTTGGAAGAATTTGGGGATTGACCAGAAAGTGATGAAGACGATGGCCTTTGATGACGGGTTCAACTTGTTGGCACCCAAGAAGATAATTCTTGGTGTCAAGTTTCTCAGAAATAGTATGGGCAAAGGTGAGAGAGGGAGACGAGGAGGGTTTTACCGGAGCAGCTTGAAAGTGTGGTGGTGCAGTTGAGGAGGACGATGGTGGTTCGTTGGCCATGAGGAAAGACCGGCAGCCAGAAAGAAAGGGGCTGAGAAAGAGGGGAGGAGGGATTGAAGCGATAAAGAGGGGGAGGATCGATGAGCTCTATGATACCATATTAAGTAACAAGAAGAATTGTGATGAAAGAGTCGTGAGAAAGAAGAAGAGAGATTGAGCGGAAGCAATTCAGCAAAGAAAGAAATTATATTTTCACTAACTGATTAACATTACAACTTGTCTATTTATATGTATCTATAGCTTCAAAGGAAGCTATAGATACATTGACCTATTGAACAGGTAACCAAACTAGAAAACAGAAAATTAACTAACAGGTAACCAACTAATACAAGAATAAAAATAATACAATGCGAAGGAGTAAAGATATACTCCAATAATCACTAATGCTCTGCTTGGGAGAAGGGGGTGAATTGAAGGGAAAGGAAAAAAATATGTCAGAATTGATTAGATAGGAAATATGTAGGAAATAGAGTGAAATTTGTAGTTGATTAGTAGAGTGGAATTAGGTAAGAAGTAGAGAGAAGTTGGTATTTTAAAATTGTATTTTATATAGGTAAATTTTTATGTAAAAATAAATAACAGATACAATTACTATTTTATCCCTCCCATTATATTGAAGTGGGATTATATTTTTTTTTATGTAATATAATAGGTGGCATAACCAATTATGCCACAGGTTTTGTTCATGTTCTTGTGTATAATGTATTACATTGATAATATATTCTAATATAGTCACTCATAATACCTTAATATGTTCATGTTCTACTTGCATATTCCATTATCTTGATAGCATATTGGAATATGGTGTTTGTTGCTACATACACGAGGTTATATTTTTCATTCTATTCAATTTCACAACAATTCTCCCTTTGAAGAGGGTATTTTTGCAACTCGTGGGACCCTCATAAACTTGCACGCAATTCGTCATAAATCACTTCTAGCAAGTTGAGGTTTTTTATTAAACCCCTTCTAACCCACTCCCCATCCCTCAAATCCCTTTTAAATCATGACCCCTATGTAGAGTGTAAAGGAAATATACATGTTGCAGAGTTTGTTTTCAGTCACTTACATAGCCTTTGATCATACTTTTGAAGGTAGAGATGAATATTGGAAGTATAATTATTTGTTAAAAAGTGTATTCCTGGGCAATATATGTATATCTTGTTAACGAAGATATGTTGAATGCCTGAGAAATACAGTGGTATGAGTTTCGAGGCTTAAGGCATGTTTGGTGCACAGAATTGTGGTTTAAGGGAATTGGATTGTAATGGAATATGCTAGAATTGAATGACCATTTGTACCAGAGTTCGATTACTTTGTAAAATAGAAGCAATGTAAAATGGAATGACTGTTTTTCTAAGTTACATACAACTACAAGAGTCCTTGTGAGGAAAACATACTTCTTTTTCATTGGGAATAATTTACAACTTAAAGTTAACATGAATTTTGCATTGTTGAGAAGATGGCTCAGCTCTCCTAGAGTCCTATGGTGATCTGTTCGTTTTGTCCAATATATTTGACTATAGGATTTGGACTCTAGATTCCCCTTGTCTGTTGTATTTTCAATTTCTCACCCTTCCTACAAACTTGGATTACTCTGTTCTTGCTAAATTATTATTTCATAAATCTAATAATCCCGTTCAAGCTGTTTCAACTAGTTGCCACTAATCTACATATTTGTCAATTTATGCAAACAAAATTTCATTGTCGATATGTGATTCTATTGATTTGATGTAGTAATTCAATGATTGAGTTTGTTCTTTTCAATGTTGCCATGTATGCTACACAATTATGTTATATCTTGTTAGTGAAGGTCAGTTTCAATTAGTTCCACTAATCTACATTATTCATTATTTAACTTACCGTCACATGCTACTACTTATCATCAATATTATTATGAAGGGTGACATGCGAGCCTTAGAAGACTTAACATATGAAAGGCGGAGGGAGTTTTTAAAGGAGCATCATCTGCCAGAAGAAGTCCCTATTGTTTCCTTTCGGACCGAAGCTGGCATTTCCCCTGCTGTTCTAGCCACATTGTCTCATGTTGCACATGCCGAACTACCTGCAGTTGCTCCAGCAGGTGAACCAAGAAAACTCCCTGTAGTGATGCCCCTTGGTGCTGCTATGGCTGCTTGTGCACAGTTGCTGCAGCTGAGATACGGTGAGAAAAGTGACGGGCTTGTGACATGTCGAGACGCAGAGGTTCCTGGATCTGTTGTGGTGCGGCCTAAACGAAAATTGGACCACGCTTGGATGGTTTATTCTTCCCTAAATGATGACCCTTCTGAAGGAGATGCATCTCAGGTGTGTGAAGCTCTCTTGACTCTACTCGTGGAAATCGGACAGAAAAAGATGCATGAGCTAGCAATGAAAGAAGAATGAAGCATTCAAATTTTCTGGTGCACCTGTACATACTTTTATCTCCAAAACTCTATATTCAATTTATTTTTTGAAGTCTAACAGATAACAAAGTTGATGTAGGCCATATATGTAACAATATAATTCACGTATGTAAGAACAGGATTGTCTTCTGTAAAGGATAACTGTGATATAGAAAAGAAAAAAAAAAAAAAAACATTGATAGTACCTGTGGAGCAAACATAGCTTAGGAGAACATATTGAAAAGCAAAACATTCATGTGATTTAGGGGATAAACTGATGATGCGATGCGGAAAAGGGATGGAAACTTTAATTTTAACTTGTTATCCCATTAGGAACTATTTCATCCCTGCATAGGGTTTATGATGTATTCATGATGAAGCCTTAAATTATAAAATGTAGTGAAATTCATTTAACAATCTAGAAATTATTAGATGCAATTTTCATTAATACTATGTTTCTTTCATTCTTCATCCTCAAAACAAAATAAAATATACCATTCCTTTTGAACTGTAGAAAACTCAATAGTCATCGTTCTAAAATATCCTTTGATGTGTGTGGTAGGGGTGACAAACTTTTTTATGTAAAAGAAACTATGGAGCTTCTCCTTTGGGAGACAAAAAAAATATTCTGCTGATGTTAAGATTAAACACTTTTCTTTTTGAAATACATGACATCAAGTTAACCTTTATTCTCCTTATGCACGTCTTTTGTGTACACATCTGTGAAAGGACCGTGATTTAACAGGTAAAGTAAAACTTTCAAAAGTTAATTAATGTGTATTTGAATTAGTTTATTTAAAAATAACCATGCTTTTACTAGCTTCTTAATATAAAGTGATTATTATTTCTTAAACTTAATCTCAAATCAACTTGCGCTTTCACCTGTCATTGAAGTTTACGTCAATTAATATAAGAAAAAAGTGTACGTTGATTTTAATTATATAGCGAAGTTGATGAGTTGTGAAGTGAACAGAATCCTACGTGGGTCGTTATTATATGGGTTCTGGGAAAACGATAGATGCGACTTGCTAATAACTTTTAAACTTCTTTAGTCATATCATAAAACCACTTAATCAAAAAACATATAATTAACCTTTAAACTTTCGAAACTTCCAAAGGATCGCTTCTTTTAAAATTAATATATGGAAGGTTGGACCATTGACCAAAGGAAAAAAGTATATGCAACATATTGCGTGCAAATTTTATCATCTATTTCCATTATAATATTAAGAGTTTAATATGTGATTTGTATGTGTAACATACTACTTTATGTGTGTAATAAATGAACTCTGAATCTAAGATCGATGAAAAAATTCAGTTTCAAAATTCAAGTTTAACTAGTTTGATTAGTTAATTGAATAAATAAATCATTTAAATTAATTGATAATAAAGAAATTACATAAGATTTATGAAAAACATTCACAAAATGTAACAATATCCTTATATGTAGTTTTCATTCTTGAAAAAGTGAGATAATATTTATGTTTACTGTCCCTTTCGTGCAGTGAAATGCCTTCTTTAACTAATAACACGTCTTATGAACTATTTATTATATCAAATCAAATTAATAATATTTTTCATTTGTTATCAAATAAAAGATATAATTTCTCTAATTACTTTAATTAATAATTAAATTTATCCAATCGATATTAAATATCAAATATTTACACATCATCATGAAAAATATAAAATTTCAATTATTAAATTAATTTTCAAATTTATAAGAAAAAAATTTAAGCATGAGTAACTTTTGTAAGACGCACACCTACGAGTCTTCCCTCTCATTTTTTTCCTTCCTTCCATTATACTCTTATTCTCATCCCCTCTCTTGGCTAAATCATTGGTGTTGGTGTTTGATTTGGACGGTTGAGTTGGTGAGAAGCAAGGAAAGAAAAAAGGCTATTGTTGGAGTCTTTCTCCTTGAAGCATTTTCATTTTCTTCTTCTTCTTCTTCAGTATCGTAGGCTCGAGGCTCAAATTTTCAATCCAATACGAGGTAAGGAAAGTTAGAAATTTACCATTGATTACTGTTTGTAGCATGAGTGGTGTTGTTTGATGGGTTGGTTGAATCCCCATTTGAGTAGCATTTGAGTTGAAAGTGAGGTGTTGTTGGGTATTGGGCTCCTTTCGTATGTGGAGAAAAGGCTCAAAATTGAGAAGTCTACTTAATGTCTTACTTAATTTAGTGGAGAAAGGGTCTGAAGTATTAGAGTGAGAAAGAGGGAAAGTCATAAGTCACTTAGAACACCAGTACTTTGAGAGAGAGGAAGAAAGAAAGTCATTCTTGTTTTTACATAGAGTTGAGACAGTAAAATCGATATTGCAAATTCATTCATGTTGGATCGGGCTGAAAATTTGACAGCAGGTTTGGGACATCTGGTTCTTCATGCTGAACGGTTGGATCGTTTATACGAGGTTTGAGTTGAGAGATATTCAGTTCGCACTGTATTTGTGTACTTGGGGTTTTTCATCTTCCTTGTTCTCTATTTGTAAGTGTAGACCCCTAAAATTGTCCGGGTCGGAAA